GTGTGGGTTCTTTAAGAGGACCTACTTGGGGCTCCAGAAGTTTCTTCCATCAACTCAAACCCCTGTTTTTTTTCAGCCAGAAGTTGTGGGGACTTATCTTCCTGACACTGGAACCCTGGGCTGGGGGGTCTGGTGTGGGAACAGCCCATTCCGTGTCAGCGCCCCTCCTACCAATCTGGGTGGATGTGGTTTCTTTACTTCAGTAGTTGTGAGACTTTCATCCAACTAAATTTCTGACAGTTCTGAGTGATGGTTGTTCTCTATTTTAGCTGTAATTTTGATGTGGTTGTGCAGAGGCGAGCCATGTCTGCCTGTGCTGCCATCTTGACTAGAAGTCAACAGTCTCAATAGGACATCTAGAGTTATTCTAACATCTGCTCCCCAGATCCCGATAGCAAGGCGTCACGAACCAACATGGTGATCTGGGGCATATAAAGATGATCAAGTTCACCCAGACTTTATTATAGCAGAGAGGAGGAGGGTGGATATAGCACTAGGGCCAGATAGTAAAGGTAATCATTAACCCTGCCATCTAAATGCAAACTTACAGAAAATTTTATTATCAATTGGAATAAAGCATCTGCTTGGATCAAACGCCCTTATACCATCCTCTACAGCGGCCTCGGGTCCACTGGCAGTCACCTGCACACAAAACCCTGGTACCTGGAATCAGTTACAAATTTCATCACCACGTAATTCTACTTACAATGACCTTTTGTCATTCTCCACTGCCCACCGGGGTCACTCCTGCAGCTGCAAGCTTGGCTTGCCGTATCCATCATACTCAGCCTTCCGTAAGGATGCAGCAAGCCCAAGTGGATTCAGGGCCCGATCACATCCCCGCACCTGGTGCCACAGTACAACATGGAACTGGAGGGACTGCATGGCAAACTGCACAGTTGGCAGTGGTTGGATCTGTCATTAAAGAGCCAGCTCTAAACTATAGCTACGAAGTTTTACAGACTGACGTGTGCTGAAGACGCTGTCTCTAAGTAAAATTTTTTTTAATTGAGAAAAGCCCTTTAAAATTTATTTTTAAATTTCTAACAAGCTCTATAAGTAGTAAGATTTCATATTATTTGTATATTTGCAAATATTCTTGTTGTTTTTTGTCCCTAGTAGTTTAATTACATAGGTTCTATTGGGGCTCCCACATACCATGAGACCTCTGCATTTCGAAGATATTACTCGACTTATTTCCTGTCCTGTTTTGCTGATGAGAGATCCAGTGTTGATTTTACTGTAACAAAATGAGACACATTCATTTCAGAAAAGTCGTCTCTTTCCCTGGTAGATAGCTGTAGTGTTTTTTTCTTTATTTCAGATTTATCTGTAGCTTCTCCACTGTGTACAGCTCCTACCTGAGGACAAAGTCTTTCAGTAACTGTCTCTGTATATTTCTCCCCATTATTTATTCTCTAATTTCTTTCAGGTCCATATTAGACTTATTTTGACATTGCCCAATATATTTTCAGTATCTAATGGTTCTTTGTGTGACTATGCTGCATTCTTTTTAAAGATTTTATTTATTTATTTTTAGAGATGGGAAGGGAGAGAGATAGAGAGGGAGAGAAAATTTTATGTGTGGTTGCCTCTAGTGCAACCCCTACTGGGGACCAGGCATGTGCCCTCTATCCACTTGCCTATCAGTGGTCATTTAGGCTGCTTCTATATTCTTGGCTGTTGTAAATAATGCTACAATGAACAAAGGGGTGCATATATATCTTTTTGAGTTACTGTTTTGTTTTCTTAGAATAAACACCCAGAAGTGGAATTGCTGGATCATAGGGTAGTTCCCCTTTCTTCACATCCTCGCCAACACTTGTTAATTCTCATTTATTTATTTATTTATTTATTTTAAAACAAAAGGTGTGAGGTGATATCTAACATTCTGAGGTGATAGCACATTGCGGTTCTGATCTGCAGCACTCACTGGATTGAGAAAACTCACACTCCAAACTACCACACCAAAGACAGGAGATGAAGGCTCTTTCAACTGAGGTTTCAATCTGTAAACATTTAGATATTATTTCCTGCCCTCAAAACATCCTTTAAGACCCCGTGAGAAGAGAGAGGGGATGTCTAGACTAGGCAGACTAGAAGTAGAGAGAAATTTCCTTCACCAAAGCTGCCCACGGAAAGCTTGTGCACCCTTGATGGAATTGGTCTGGGAAGAACTGGTGAAAGAACAAAAGGCTGACTGACCCGGAAGTACTGCCTGGTGAGCATTTCCAACCTCTGCCTCATTCCCCAAGAGGAGAGAGAATGACAGTGTCTTACCGAACTGGCAAAATAGCATATAGCATCCTCTCACCGTCTCCTAGGTTCCGGGCTCTGCAACATTATATAAGCTCTGCCTGAAGTAATGAAGGTGGAGGGTCGACAGTTGAGGGTCGACTATCGTACTCTGTAAAACAACTTGGAGATACTAGCACACTGAAAACAATCAGGTTATTGAGAACAGCGGGCCCAGGGGAGCCTTTGCCAGAAGAGAATATTGCACTAAATGTACAGCGAAGCGCTCTTTTTTATGTGAGGAAACTGAAGATTAGAGGGGTAGAAGAACTTGCTCAGAGTCACATGGTAAGCAGGTCAGAATCTGGTCTGTATTCACCACCATGCGAGCTTGTCCATCGTGATTCATCTGTGGAATCACTATTTATCTGTTTTCCTTGCATAGTCCTTGTTCACAGCTGTGCCTGTTACACTTGCTAATATTGCCCACTTTTGACTCTCAAAAGCCACTCAGTTTAGGCAGTACTTTGGTCACACTGTAGGACCACTGGGTCAGAGCTGCCCAGGAAGCCCATTAAAGTGCAGGTGCCTGAGCTCCACTCCAGATCTGGGTGCTTTCTGAGAGTTGGCCCACGAATTCTCTGTCACATACTTTTAAATTGTGTTGTGAAATCTCCAGGTGAGTCTCAAGCCCTCTTAAGTTGATAAATCATTCGTCTATTATATTCTGACTTCCTCGGAGACCCAACCCGGTCCTGAGGCGGTATTGGTACCCCCACCAGATCAGAGAGATGCTCCCAGACAAGTAATCTCCCTGAAGCCTTGGAGCATCTGAGTGGTCTCCTGCCAGCCCACCTGCCAGGGCAAACCTCCTCCAGAGCCCTCTCCTTCCCACATCTTACCTCCTACCACCCCCCAAAGGTAGCGATCTCTAGTTAGTCCTGACTTTGTCCTAACACCCATCGCGCTAATTCAAACAACCTAGGAGCAAAAAGTGGTATGGTTCTCAACTGGGGTTACCCAACTGCTAAAATAGCAATATAGGAAATCTACCTACTGGGCACATCTGCCCTGCAACAGCCTCAGCAAATGAATGTCCCATCTACGCTTATTAAAGGTCAGCAACAGGGATCCCCCTCCTTAAGAAAGTTATCTGTCATTGCTAGGAAGTTCTTGGACACACTATATCAAAGGGATCACCAAATGTAATTTCTTTCTAGGAGGTGGGGAAAGAGGGGGAGAAGGGGAGGGGGGAAGAGAGAGAGAGAGAGGAACACTGATTGGTTGCCTTCTTGTATGGACCCCAAATGGGGAGTGAACCTGCAACTTGGGTGTGTGCCCTGACTGGGAATGGAACCCACAACCTTTAGGTGTACAGGATGATGCTCCAACTGAGCCACACCGGTCAGGGCCACATCATCTCTTAATAACACCTCTTCGCAGCGTTGAAGAGGTGTTATTAAGTTTCTATGCTTTTCACCTGAGTGCTTCTGTGCCCACATCTTACGTCACGGTGCTGGCATTGTCATTATTTGCCTTTTAAAGGGGGAGAGGAGTGTGTCAATTGGTGCCATTTTGTATTGTCATTTTTTTTTAAGATTTTATTTATTTATCTTTAGAGGGGAAGGAGAGAGGGAGAGAAACATCAATGTATGGTTGCCTTTCATGCGTCCCCTGCTGGGAACTGGCCTGCAGGGAACCAGCCTGCAACCCAGGCATGTGCCCTGACTGGGAATTGAACTGCAATTCTCTGGTTTGCAGACCTGTGCTTAATCCACTGAGCTATACTAGCCAGGGCTTGTATTGTCATTTTGACATAAATTTGTTTTCAATTTCATGTTAAAATGGGCCTATCATTCCCACTCTGTGAAGTCACATGTGAAATGACACTGTGGAATGCAATCAGCAAATTCTGAAACAAAACTAAAGGACAAAGGGTGTGATTTAACCCTCCCCCCCAAAAAAAAATTACAAGGGAGAAATTTTCATCAAGACTGCAGGGTAGGCAAATGCTGTGCTCACCTTCCCCCAGTGCATCAAAATTTACAACTAAACTGCAGAACACCCCCTCCGGAAACAGCCTGAAGAGACCCTAAACAGAAGTCCCATATAATTAAGGATATTCCGAAGCCACATTGACCCTGGTAGGAGGTTTGCAGATGCTAAAGAGGCAGGGCCCATACTCATGGTATAGCAGTTAAGAAACCGTGGTGGTGGGATATCTGGGCTGCAGTGCCCCCCGCCAGGGAGGGAGGGGTCCCAGTGCCAGGAAGACAAATCCCCGACACTTCTGGCTGTGGAAGCCAGTAGCGATTTTGGCTGCTTGCTGGAGTCCCAGATGCTCCCCTTGAGGGGCTGGTGCAGGAATTTCCTCACTGGCAGACTCACTTGCTCGGAGATCCAGTGTTGGGGCAGGAGCTTGCAAACCACTAGGGACATCAGGGAGGAACTGCGTTCTCTGCCTTCATAGTGAGGGCTGGAGATGCTGCGTTCTCCCGGACGGAAGTGTGGGCAGAAGCCATTTGTTTTTTCATTGACCCTCCCCCACCCAGCTTGCACGCCTATCAATAATTCCTTTAAATATAATGGTTTAAGTGCTCCAATCAAAAGACCAGCCTATCAACATACAAGTGAATATAGAAAAGACAGTACATGTATACAGTATATGAAATATTATTCAGTCATAAAAATGAATGAAATTTTGCCATTGTGACAACATGGATGGACCTAGAGGGTGTTATGCTAAGTGACATAAGCAGAGAAAGAAAACTTCCATATAATTTTACTTATACATGGAACCTAAAATCCCAAATAAATGAACAAACAAAACAAAAAGAAATTCATAGATACAGAAAGCATTTTGATGGTTGCCAGATGGGAGTGGAGTTCGGGGGGAAAAGGGAGGGGATTAAGATGTACAAACTGGCAGTTATAAAAAGTCACGTGCACATAAAATACAGCCTAGGGAATACAGTCAATAATACTGTAATATTGATGTGTGGGTTAGATGGGTACAGGTCTTAACAGGGTGATCACTCTAAAAGTTGTATGTTTCATCGCTGTGTTGTACATTTGAAACAAATAATAGTGTCAACTATAATCTTCAAAATTATTAAAACATAAATCAGCCCTGGTTGGTATGGCTCAACAGATTGCGTGCCAGCCTCTGAACCAAAGGGTCACTGGTTCGATTCCCAGTCAGGGCACATGCCTAGGTTGTGGACCAGGTTCCCAGCAGGGGATGTACAAGAAGCAACCACACACTGATGTTTCTCTCCCTTTCTTTCTCCCTCCCTTCCCCTCGCTCTAAAAAAATAAATAAATAAAATCTTAAGAATAAAATAGAAACAAATTAAAACATTTTTAAGTAAAAAAAAAATTATTTAATCTCCTGATTCTAAAGCATAACCTTCACTTACTCTCCATTGCTTATGTAGAGGCGCTTTCTTACCGCCAAGCTGTTGTTCAACCGAAAAGAGGAAAGTGATGGAAACTTCTAACCAAGCAGACTTGGGCGAAGTCGGCCGGAGAGTCTGTTGTGAGAGTGACCACTGCCAGAGGAAAGTAGTAGCGGCTTGAGAATCCAGCGCCGTCGTGCTACGCCCACGGGTGAGCGGGACCCACGGCCTGTTCCCAAATTAGTAACACCTTGGTCGTGATCAGAATTTTAGCTGAGAAATGTTTGTTGAGTGTGCAAGGCCCTTTAAGAAGCTAAACAAAGTCACGAGACCTTCACAGGGCTGTCCTAGCTCCCAAACTCGGGCGGCTCCAGGTTCTTGGTTTTTACTGAGTTTGGACTATAGACACCACAGTCCTCTGCCTCCCTCACACCACGGAACCCCAGTTCCTCACATCTAAGTGTGCTTTCCTGCTTTGATGTGCTGTCGCCGTTTTCTGGTGTGGCAGGCAGCCTCCTGGTTCTCATGCTGAGTCCCTTCTCTTGAGTGAGGGTTGGGAACCGCCCTGCCTAGTTTCAGAAGCTGTAACCCCCCATGGCTAAGGCTGAGTAAGAGACCTTGGGACCGTAAGCCACTAAGGAGACAAATCTTATCTTCCTGGTAGGGGTGCTGCCTCTCCTTTTACTTCACCCTGCCTGGCCCTGGGTGGATGACTGGTTAGTCAAGGACGGGTAAGATTCCTCCTCACGAGAGGGATGGTCAGACAGGTATGGTCATGAAGGGGACCTTGGGGAAAAGGGGTGATGGACCCTCGCCCCTCGGCTTTGATATAGCCTGAATCCTCATTCTGTCTGGGAGAACTCTCCTAATCTCTTGGCTGCCTTACTTCCTCTGCCTGACTTAAGCCTGAAACAATGCTTGAGGGTGGTGCAGCTCTGGGCAGGAACAGGCGGTGCCCTGGGCAATTAGGCCTAAGGAGGATCGCATAAAATCCTGTGAAACCTGCTTTGCTAATACCCTCAGTGTAGATGATAAGGGTTTAAGCATGAATTGAGTTCGTTCCCCAAAGTTTTATGGCCCTTTAGCTATCTGACCCTGACTCAGAAAAAGCCCCCATTGTTCTTTGAATGTCATCTATCGTTTGATCTTTACTTCCTAACAATGAGGAATGAGGACCTTCCTTGAAATAACACTCCCAGAAAAGCAGTAAAAGCCTGTCCAGGCAGGGGTCAGGGCCCTCTCTCTCACTCAGAGTGTGGCCATGCTGTCCCTTTTCCCCACAGGACTTCTGTTGTCCTTGTGAATTTGTTCACTGCATCCACCACACCTTGGGCACTGCTGGTTGGAGTCCTCATCAAGTGAGGACTGTGACTCACTGCTAACAAACAGACTGGTAAACGGGAGAACGTCATTTGAGATTTACAAAAGGCTCCGGCTTCCATCTTGCTCTCTGATGGAAGCCACCGGTCATGTTGGGGGCTGACCTAGGGAGAGGCCCATGTGCCAAGGAACTGAGGGAGGACTTTGATCAACAGCCAGGTAGGAACTGAGGCCTTCAATCCAACAAACCACAAGGAACTGAATCCTGCCCAAAACCACCTGAGTGATTCTGGAACGCCTGTCAAGCCTTGAGTGGACTGCCACCCCAGCCAGCATCGTGGTCACAATGTAAGAGGCCGAGCCAGAGGGCCCGGGGAAGGCCAGATCCGGAATCCTGACCAACAGGAACTGTGAGATAACAGACGCCTGTCTCGAGCTGCTGTGTTTGGAGGTAACTTTTTACACAGCAATGGAGAACCAGTTCACCTGGGACAAATGAGGCATCACCACGTTACCGCCTGAGCACTGTCCAGCAGTTCCCTTGGGCAAGTTACTTAAACTGCAAGGGCTTTCTTCCCTTCCCTTCGTGGTTTTCTTTTTGGAAAGTGGAGGGTCTAAAGCTCCACTTTCTAAAAGAAAAACCTGGAGCGCAATGTAAAAATGGAAACCAAAGAGCCTAACCTCGTGGGTTAAGATGTCTGTCTGAAGGCACCTGCTCACAAAAAACAGCTTGACATGCACACAACGTAGAAAATGGGATCGAATTTCCTTACACAAAACATTTTTAATGAGTAAAAAGAAAGGACACCTTCAAAATCAGGTAAAAACCATGTCTTTCTTTTAATTGACTACTTAATTCACATTTCCTCCTTGGCTGCTACTTTGGTAAGAAGTAGGTCCCGCCTCTCAAGAACACTGCATCTGGACAGGCTGAGACAGAGCCAGTGTGAACACAGAGCCCCAAACCAGGGCCTTTGGAAGAAGAAGAACAGCAAAACCCAGCTTCTTCTTTGTCTAGAAAGGGACTGAATCAGAGGGTCTAAAGCTCCACTTTCTAAAAAGAAAAACCTGGAGCGCAATGTAAAAATGGAAACCAAAATGTATCAGCAATGAAGCACAGCAGCCTCCTCATATTCCAAGGTAAAGGTGGTTTCTGAGGAATAAGTATCTGATTACCTGGCTTCTTGTGTTAGGAATGGCCCCCTTCCAGCATTTTTAAAGGAAGATGTTTCTGTTTCTATTTCATTTCCAAACAGGTATAAAGTCTACTAAAAAAAAAAAAAAAAAAGAAAATGAATCAGAATAAATCAGCTCACTCATAAGAGACACTCCTAGATAATGATTTTGGTTGCTGAGAATAGTCAGCATATTATTTCAAAGTGGCAAAATCTGAGGTTATCTGAGGAAGAGAATTCAAAAGAGGCAGCTACATTCACTGGTAAAATCACATGAGACACACATACATATAACCCCATTTTTTTTCAGTGTATATGTCAAGAGGCCAAGACCCCTGATTATCAAAATAAGTTACTTTTGTATTACAGTGCACAGAACAATAGAGAAAAAGACACTTTCTTGGAGAATGACTGAAAGGCATTTTGCTAAAGGTCCGTATCACTCTACGGTGCAAGGCCCGGAGCCCGGTGGGGCAGCGCGGCCTTCATTAGCTTGACCCTTCCTTTTCTTTGGTTGCAGTGACCTCGGTGGGAGCTGTCTCCTCCGAATGTTCTCCTGGCTTCTTCTTTTCCTCCTCTTCCTCCTCTTCCTCGTCTTGGGGATAGAGGTCCGGGTACTTCTGCATGCATTCCTGCATGGCCCGGAACTGGCTTACACAGTCTGATCCCTTGACATCCTCTGTGCTGTAGTGAAAGCAGGAAAAGGCTGACTTGAATTGTTCCCCACAGGGGCCACTGGCCATGCCCCCAAGGCACGGGCAGTTCCAGTTAATGTCTCCACTTGGCAGGATCAATCCTGGAATAGGAAGATGGGCGAGGAAAACGTGAGAGATGCTCTTTAATGCTGAAAGAAAAGCAAAACCAAGTCCAGCTTCCATGGGCCACTTGAGAGGTGAACAGTGTGAACTGCTGCCTGGCAGGCACCTGCCTGTGGACCCACCTCTTAGATTGGGCTTGGATGCCTGGAACAAAGCCAGCCTTCCTGGCTCAACTGGAAAGAAGCCCCCACTGGCGACTGTCTCCACATGCAACACCGATCTATATTCTAAGCCGCCTCCCAGGGCTCTGACTGTGTCTTAAGAACTATAGGCTGGAATCCATTTAGTCCAAAGTAGAAGCCATCACTTGGATGGTTAATGAGAACCTTTTTAAAGCCCAGACACTTGAAGAAGCTGAGGTACTGCCCTGGCCGGCGTGGCTCCATTGGTTAGAGCACTGTCTCATACACCAAAATGTTGGCCATTCGATTCCTGGTCAGGGCACATACCTAGGGTGCAGGTTCGATTCCTGATCAGGGCGTATATGGAAGGCAATCAATAGATGTTTCTCTCCCCCCCCCTTCCTTTTTCTTTCTCTCTAAAATCAATAAACATATTTTAAAAAAGCAGCAGCAGCTGAGGTATCCACCTCCTCCTTCCAAACTCTGCTGCCCGCCTGCTCCTCAAGCCCCTCTTGCTCTGCAGCTGCTCTCAGAAGCCACCCAGTGTAAAGACGGGTGAGAACGAGGAGGCCGGTCCTTCTGCGCTGCCGAGGATGATGTCTGAGACATGTCTGCAAGGAAATGGCTAGTGGCATACAGTGCTGTGGTTCCATTCTTATAAAAATGAAAATTTGGACCGAGGCTAACCATATCAACCCAAGTGCTACATTGTACATATGTGTGAGGGAGGGGCTAGGGTTTCAGATGGGTTTTCATTTCGGTATTATATAGGCCCCTAACTTTCGAATTTTATGCTTTTTCTTATCTTTGAATTTTGTCCACATCCATATATTATTTCCCGGTTTTCTAAAATGCTTTTAAGATGATGGCTCATGTTTAGTTTTGCGGCAGACATGGACGGAATATGATGCATACAGAATTCTCTTACATACGTTGACCACAGAGACTGAGCACATTCTTTAAGAAAGACCCTTAAGTGCCCAGTGAAATTACACTTGATTGTTCACTGCTGGGAAATATGTACGTCTGGCATTCTGAGCTAACATCCAAAGTCCTAGGCCTGGGCTGAACCCTGTCTCTTCATTCCGGCCTAGCAAGCTTCAGTGATGGACAAATCCGCTGGTGCAGTCACTCACTCCTGAGACGGGCTGACAGTGGAGACGGCAGTGGGAACCAGCAGGCAGTTCCCCACCGGTGCTGCTGACCGCTGCAATGCACGTTCTCGTGCATCCTTGTACGTGGTAAATCATGTATTCCTTCTGCAGTGGGTATTACTAATCCCAGTTTACAAATGAGGTTTCTGGGGTTCAGTGGGGTCCAGGCTGGGACTATAGCCAGGACCCTTACCATTCCCAGAGCCCATTTGCTCCACATCTCACCAACTCTCCCAACTTCACAACCCATCTCTGTGCTGGAAGCATTTACAAATGCTGCCCCCTGGAGGCCTGACACTGCCAATACACCTGTACAGTTTCCGAATACATCCGTACAAACACTTTCCGAAAGAAATAACACTATAATGCTAATATTCAAAAGTAATAGTTCAGATCTGCAGGAGTCCTTGTACCACTATCTATCAGAGAAAGGTGAGTGAGAAAGTAGTAGTTCCTCACAGAGAACACTATGAAGCCAACCTGCACTTGAGGGACACAATGTAAAACACAATGATGGTAGCTGCAAACAATGAAGCTCAGATGCAGAGTCTTAAAACCAGTAATTTTGCAACTGAGAGTTCAGAACCTAGGTCCCAGAGATCTGTTTAATATGCTTTCACTATAATTCCTCACAAGAAGGGGCTGCAAAGGCAATTGCCCATAAAGTCTAAGCAGATATAGTGTACATGACAGAAGCAGGCAGGAGAAAAATCAAGAGGAATGATAGTGACTGGCAGGAAATGGAGGGAAAGGCACAGCCTCAAGGCAAACACATTCAGTTTCTATAAAAATAGGACGGGGCAGACAAAATGAGAAATGACTTGTCCAGCAGGCCTTAGTCTCAATCCATTAAAGAAATGGGCTTAGCTAATATGGACTTAAAGACTGGCAAAGGACTAAAATTTACACGTGATTTACTTTTCTTTCAAGAGTGTTGACTGCAGGTCACTCCTGTTGCTGTCCTTCAGAGGAATCCAACACTTTGTACAATGCCTGAACTTCCTACTATTCTCCAAAGGGGGCTACACGTGCCTCTGAGCTTTATTTTAATCCCTACAAGCAGTAGACAGTGTCCTACTTAAGAATATACACTTTAGCCCTGGCTGGTGTGACTCAGTGGATTGAGCACCAGCCTGTGAACCAGGTCACTGGTTTGATTCCCAACAGGGCACACGCCTGGCTTGTGGGCCAGGTCTCCAGGTTGTAAGAGGCAGCTGATCAAATGTATCTCTTGCACATCAATGTTTCCCTCCCTTCCTGCCTAAAATAATAAATAAAATCTTAAAAAAAAAAACAACAACGAATCTACACTTTAGTAAGCATTTGAAGAATTTCAACCAGGAGCCCATATTCTACAGGCAGCTCCTACAAGGTGTTTGAACCACATTAATCACCAATGGGCACCAGAAGGCTTTTTAGTTATTATCATGGATGTCAGAAATGGCTTTAGATTATTGGTGAAGGGAGTACGGTTTAGACAACATATGGATTATTTATGAACACTGCATATATGCAGCCACCTTACACAGGCTGGGGTACATCCTAGTGAGGCCAACAGTCCAAAGCCTTTGCAGTGGTGCCCCAGGTCCAGGTGACTGTTAACTGAGTTGTGTGGAACAGTTCTGACTAGGTTAGCTGAATCCTGCTGCTAGAAGGCTGTCCCTCTATCTGAACTGAGTGCTTTTCCTGCAAGGTGCTTGCTGGAGAACTCCAAGGAGAAGGCACCTCACAGAACAAGGTGTGTGGCTCTTAGGTGCCTGTGTACTGACAGCCTGCAATGTGGCAGAATTACGTCTCGTGACTTGACTGAACTGAGGATGCCTGTTACCTCACCTGGAACTGCCCAATTCCACGGACACCCCCTCCGAAACTTAATGACTGGGAAGCATCCAACCAGCAGCTTAAGCCAATGCAAAAATTCAGAAGAAAAAGAGGCAGAAGACTTCAGTAAGGAGAACCTCTTAGGTACCAGCCGAATGGCCAGGGAAGTATATCAGAATGAGGGCCTCAGAACAGCCCCTTACACCTCTGAGGGAGACAAACTCACTGTCCTGAAAGATGGCCCATGGCTGAGATGCACAACTGAAAACCCAGCCTCGTCCAGGACAAAATGGGGAAAAAATGTGAATGTTGAACTTTTCTCCCAGTTCATGTCTGTGGGGGTCCCTGGGAGGCCCCATGTCACTCACCATGCTCCTCGTAAGGATCATTGGGATCATCGGCCACCAGCTCGGCAGTGCTTGGAGTTTCATGGTCTTCTTTGGTCACAAATATGATTCGATCCTTCCCTAGTGTTTAGAGGGCAGAGGAAGACACCTTTCACTCAAAATCAGTGAATCAGCCCTAAAGACAAAATGGTAAGACAAGCCAAGTTTGAAGACTGTCCCAAGGGAAATCCCAAAGTGAGGTGACCATCAAACTGCCCCCTCTGGGCTGAATCCCTGACTCCGCATGATGCACGGGTTAGCAGCTGCTTTCACTGAGTACCTGTGGCTGGAACGAAAGCTCCACCAAGGTCTTGGGTGAGGAGGATGACAGCACACTCTGCCCACCATATGTATCCTCCACACGGGAGATGAGATGCCCAGCCCTACCCAATGCAGCTGCTTTTAGTCCCAAATTTGCTGACATTCCAGCGGTGCAATGAGTCTGTCTTCCTTACATCGAGAAAGGAGCAGTCCTTTTCAGAGACCTCAGAGGGCAGGTGCGAGCTTCACGCTTACTCTCCACTGTGCTCCAGACAGCCAGTGTGTGTTGGAGGGGATTTCACACGTTTGGTGCTCTGGGTTTTATGGCTGCCGCCCAGGGTACAACCCTTGATGGCCTGGCTCTGGTGGCTGAGGACGCTTGTATTCTGGTGTCCCACAGGGCCGTGGCAAGCAAAGAGATGGTTCCTGGCAGGCAGCCATCCCCATGAAACTGTACCGACAGTGGACTAAGGTAATCATCTCCCACCCAGAGTTTTTCTGTTAAGGAGGTCTTTGCTTGTTTAGATTTTGGTGTGAGGCGCAGACTTCAGGTCTGGCAGACATCTAGTGGCTTATGGAACTGCTCTCCAGAACTGTAGGCTGGGAGGCCAAATTGGTGTTCTCCCTCTGTCATACTCCAGCTTCCTGGTATCACCTAAAAAAGAGCTTATACACTTGTCTGCAGTCCCGATTTTTGTGACTGCCACCCAAGGGACACCTCCAGATTGCCCAGTTTTAGTAACCAGTGGGATATATGCTTGTAGTCCCACAAGACTGCAGAGATTTACAAACTTTTAATAGTTGATGCCTTAGCCTGGCTGGTGTGTCTCGATGGATTGAGTGCCAGCTTGTGAACCAAAGAGTCATCGGTTTCATTCCCAGTCAGGGCACACGTCTGGGTTGCGGGCTAAGTCCCCAGTAGGGGGCACACAAGAGGCAAACACACATTTATGTTACCTTCTCTCCCTCCCTTCCCTCTCTAAAATGAATAAATAAAACCTTTTAAAAAAGTCAGAAATAGACTTCCGGCCAAGATGCAGGCATAGGTGGAACACTGTGCCCCCTCGCACAACCAAGTTTAAAGACAACAAAGTTTTACTAACAAAAACTCAACCAAAACACAGAAAATTGAACTGTACAGAAGTCTTACAACAACGAACCATTCAGCCAGACAGGTAAGAGAGGCGGAGTCACCGGCTGTGGAAGCAGGTTGGGCAGGAAAAGGTGGCCAGACCAATCCAGGCGCGCAGGCGGCGGTGGACAGATCTCAGGTGTGGGGTGGCAACAAGTGGACCCAGTGGGGGCGCAAGGCAGCTGGCTGACCATGGTCAGACATTCACACACAGATAAACCAGGCAGAGGAGCAAGCAGTGAGACAGACAGCGCAAACCAGGGCCCCGGAGCCAGGAAATAAAGTCTAAAAGCACCAACTGGAAAAACTTTGGGGGTCGAGGTGCCCAGAGAAGCTCCCAGGCTTACAGAGAGTTCGTTGGAGAGACTCACAGGGTCCTGGAGGGTGCACAAGCACACACACCCAGGAACCAGCACTAGAAGGACCCAATTTGCTTGCAGAAAGCAGTAGAGGGGACCAAAATCCAAGAGAGAGCAGAACAAACGCCTTTGCCCCTCTCTGACCTGCACACAGCATCACAACCCAGCAACTGGGTCACCCTGCCCTGGTGAACACCTAAGACTCTGCCCCTCACTACTTGACAGGCACAAACAGACCAAAACATTATGGCTGAAGAAGAACAGCTCAAAGTCCCAGAGCCAATACTTCTAAGTGACCAAGAGATAGCCAACCTATCAGATGCACAGTTCAAAACACTGGTGATCAGGATGCTCACAGAACTGGTTGATTTTAGTTACAAATTAGAGGAGCAAATGAAGGCTAAACTAAGTGAAATGAAGGGAAATGCACAGGGAACCAACAGTGATGGGAAGGAAACTGCGACTCAAATCAATGGAGTGGACCAGAAGGAAGGAAAAAAAAAAATGACCAAACAGAAAAGAATGAAGAAACAAGAATTCAAAAAAATGAGGAGAGGCTTAGGAACCTCCAGGAACTCTTTAAATGTTCCAACATCCGAATTATAGGGGTACCAGAGGGGGAAGAGGAACAGCCACAAGTGGAAAACTTATTTGAACAAATAATGAAGGAGAACTTCCCCAATTTGGCAAAGGAAATAGACTTCCAGGAAGTCCAGGAAGCTCAGAGTCCCAAAGGTGGACCCAAGAAGGATCACACCAAGGCACATCATAGTTACATTAGCCAAGATTAAAATGAAGGAGAGAATCCTAGAAGCAGCAAGAGATAAGGAAACAATTACCTACAAAGGAGTTCCCATCAGACTGTCAGCTGATTTCTCAAAAAAGACCTTCATTCAAGATTGAACCTACATTCAAGATTGCTCTATCCAGCAAAGCTTTCATTTAGAATGGCAGGGCAGATAAAATGCTTCTCAGATAAGTTCAAGTTGAAGGAGTTCATCATCACTAAGCCCTTATTATATGAAATGTTAAAGGGACTTATCTAAGAAAAAGATAAACATGTATACTAAAATGACAGCAAACTCACAATTACTAACAACCACAGCTAAAATAAAAACAAAGGAAACGACTAGAACAGGAACAGAACCATAGAAATGGAGATCACATGGAAGGTTAGCAACAGGGGAATAGGAGGAGAAGGGGGGGAAGGTACAGAGAATAAGTAGCGTAGACGGCAGGCAGAAAATAAACAGGGAGGACAAGAATAGTATGGGAAATGTAAAAGCTAAAGAACTTAAGACACAAGGACATGAACTAAAGGGGGGTAATGTGGGTGAGGGGGTGTGCAGGGTGGAGGTGAATGAAGGGGGGAATGGGACAACTGTAATAACATAATCAATAAAGTATATAAAAAAACCCCTACTGAAAAACAAAAGTCCAGGACCAGGCAGCTTTGCTGGTACATTCTACAAAACATTCAAAGAAGAAATACTGGAAGAGGAGGGAACTCTTCCAAACTTATTTTATGAGGCCAGCATTACCCTGATCCCAAAACCAGACAAGGATGCCATGAGAAAAGAAAATTACAGGCAGCATCCCTGATGAACAGAGATGTAAAAATCCTCAGCAAAATATGAGTAGACCAAATTCAACAATATATTAAAAGGGCCATATACCATGATCAAATGAAATTCACTCCAGGGGCGGGAGGGTCACCAACACCTGCAAATCAGTCAAAGTGATTCGCCACATTAACAAACTGAAGAATAAAAATCACACGATCATTTCAATCGGTGTAGAAAAAGCATCTCACAAAATTTAACAACCATTTATGCTACAAACTCTCCACAAATCAGACATAGGGGGAGCATATCTCAACACAGTACGGGCCGTATTTGGCAAGTCCACAGCAATCACAGTCGGTGGTGAAGCTGAAAAGTGGCCCCCTAAGATCAGAAACAATACAAAGATGCTCACTCTTGCCACTTTTATTCAACATAGTATTGGAAGTCATAGCTGGAGCAGATAGGCAAGAAAAAGAAATAAAAGGCAACCAAATTGGAAAGAAAAAAAAACTGTCTCTATTTGCAGCTGACATATTATAATACAGAAAACCCTCAAAACTCCATCAAAAAGTTGTTAGATCTAATGAATACAGTAAAATTTCAGGATACAAAATCGATATACAAAATCTGTTGAGTTTCCATAAACTAATGATGAATTATCAGAAAGAGAAATTAAGAAAACAATCCCATTTACAACTGCATCAAAAAGAATAAAATACCCAGGAATAAATTTAACCAAGGAGGTAAAAACCCTGTATATCAAAAACTACAAGACATCAATGACAGAAATTGAAGATACAAATAAATGGAAAGGATTCCATGCTCATAGATTAGAAGACTATTGTTAAAATGTCCATACTAACCAAGGAAATCTACACATTCGGGGGAATCCCTATCAAAATTCCAATGGCATTTTTCATGTATGAAATAGAAATAGAACAACATGTATGGAACCGTGAAAAACCCTGAATAACCAAAGCTACTGGAGAGAGAACAAAGCCAAAGGCACCATGCTCCAATTTTAAACTATATTAAGAAAGGCAAAATAATTAAAACGTATTGCACTGGCATAAAATCAGACACATGAATCAGCGGAACAGAAGAGTCCAGAATGAAACCCAGGCGCACCCGGCTGACGAAGTTACACGGAGGAGTGGAGGGTACCAATACAAGGGGAAAGCACAGCCTCTTCGCCCCGTGCTGTTGGGGCAACTGGACAGCCACAACGGAAAGAATGAAGCTGGACCACTGCCTTACAACACACACAAAATTAAGCCAAAATGAATTAAGGACTTGAACATAAGAACCCAAATCACCAAACTCTAAAAGAAAACAGGCAGTAAGCTCCTTGACATAGGTCTTGGCCATGATTTTTTAAATTTGACACAGCAACAAAAGCAACAAAAGCAACTGTAAACATGTGGGACCACATCAAACTAAAAGGCTTCTGCTGGAAAAAGAAAACATCAACAAAATGAAAGGCAACCTGCAGAAGGGAGAAAATATTTGCAAATCATGTATCTGACAAGGGGCTAATATGCAAAATATGTCAATGTGATATACCAATAGCATAAAAAAGTCTGATAAAAAATGGGGAGATCTAAATATACATTTTTCCAAGAAAGATATAAAGATGGTTACCTAGTATATGAAAAGATATTCTACATCATTAACCATCAGGGAGATGCAATCAAACCACAATGAGATATCACCTCATACCTGGCAGAATGGCTATTGCTAAAGAGACTAGAAATAACAGGTGTT